TAAAAATTATCACACAGAAATATTTGTTACTTATGTAGTTCGGAAATATTGAAAAGATAAAGTAGAAAATTGCAAATCATCTGCTCTTTAACTTTTTTAAACATGATGGTTTGGCTACTGGAAGATTGACCCTCATTAGGTTTAATTTGTAAAAATTAAAAATGTAACCCAAGGTTGACGACGCCTTCAATCGACATTCGTATAACCGTATTTCCACGTAGCGACACATCAATTAGGCGGTAATGCGGACAGTGCGCAGGTAAATCCTCTTATCAACGGTGATAAGCTGTTGTTTTGGTACATGAGTAAATCCGCGGCCGAATCTCGCACTCGACCACTCGCCACTTAGTCCACGCTGACCAAACACGATATCGCACGCCCACGCCCACGCCCACTAACAATGTTTACCTTAATTCGACTGTTATATCTCGCCACTGAAATATATGATTTAGTAACTGCGTTCTATCTGCTCATATTTCGAGCTTAAAGTTTCAAAAATATTCATTATTAGATGCATCGTTTTAGACTAATTATTGTGAGATGTAAATTACAGAAAAAACATAACGCACCAAGTTTATCAGGCTAAAATTAACGATGTAACGTATTATAGAATAACAACTCTATGATATATTCCATCCTCCAGGCACAGAGCACGTCACGGCGCGCTCTCTGTCAGTTCCTTGGCCTTGGTCCCGCTGTAAGTTTCCACGTGACGCGGCTCCATTGAGCAACGCGCGTCTATCTCTACGCGAAGTGGATAAACAAACGCGAGCTTTTCGTTAACATATTTACTTTGCGTCTCCATTCATAGATAGAGAACGTAAAAGTTCTAAATCGAATTTTCTTTAGAATAAATAAGGTATAAATCAAGATTTCTAAATGAAAAGCTTCGGAAAAAAGTACAGTTTCCGCACCTTAACAATTTTGTACATATTTGACAGTGGAACCTCATGGTTAATTAAGAATCTTCAATGTAAGTAATTCGTGGAACCGCACTGCGCCGCTGCACTGCGACGTCTGCCAACCCCCTCCTCCCCCTCCTACACCCTATTGTCTTATGTTTTACAATTTAACTACAACAGCTCAACCACTCAAATTCATGATTTTTTATTTGTATGAACAATACTGTTATTGTTTATTTTTGTTGCAATCTCACAAAATAATTGTAGCAAATCGTAAATATTTTAACGTAATCCGCAGTGGAAACAACCATTAATATATGAATATTGTCTAAACAAATATTAATTTTGTAATCTATTAAGTGCGGAAGGAATTACTATAACAACTGTTTGTGATACTTTAGTGTTTCGTGAAAAACAAATAATCCAATTTCAAAGTACAATTTTCAAAACTTATTTTCTACAATAATGTTTCTATAAAAGTTCGAGCACTTCAAAGAATAAGATGTAAGATAAAAATAAATTTAAAATCCAATTTATAAAGAAATTAGCAAACAATTTTCAGAAAATGTACGTAAACAAAAATTAGTCCGCAAATGTGAGTAATTCGTGTGCGGAATTCGGCAGGACGCAGAGCAGTCGGCAGATTCAACTGACACAAACACGGTGACATGCGCTTGTATTAATTAACACGAGAGTGGTACAAACCACAGGTGGGTAGCGGAAACTACGAGTATAAATAACAACGCCAAATCCAAACCATATTAAAATTATCACGAATAGATTTTTAAAGAACCTGGCGAAAGACTTGTATTAAATAATATTTAATAGCTACATTAACCAATTTTATATATATAATATATCTAATTTAATCTGGTTATACAAAGTGACACGACGCTTTGTACCAGCTCCCGCTCCCTCTACCGCTCATGTATAGCACCACACGACATCGCGCAGTGTTGGCTACCAGCCAGCAGGTCGGCGCGCGATGCAATCCCCTAACGTAAACTGCTTTATGTTCACTACGTATAAAAATGTCGTACATATTATGTTAACAAAAGTGGTCACTGAACTTTTTATTTCGAAAATACAAAATTTCATTTTCTCAGTGCAAAACATTATTTGAAGAAGCGTCATGTGTCAATAGCCTAATGGTTAATGGTTAATGGTTAATGGTTAATGGTACGGATTTCCGATCACGAGGTCGGGGGTTCAAATCCCACCATTCGACTATTATCGTAAACCATGTCCTAGCACAAGTATAGAGCTTAGTTGGAATGGTAAAAAAATATTAGTAAATTTACAAAAAACTCTGCTAATCTTTTATATATAAAAAAGGATAAATACTAAACCACGATTCTTAGGTTTGAAGTACTACATAAAATTCAACGCATAACGTATAAAATCCTCGACTATTAATTTTATTAAAATAGACAAAAGCTAGGAATGTTTCTCTTGACATAAACCGATTATTCTCAGTTGTAAAACTTTCCAGCGCCACTGAAGTGTTATTTAATATCCCTGCCGTCAAACTGTCAAACAGATAACTGCGTCCCCTCCCCTGTGAGCCTCCCCATCCTCTCCCCCGGGAGCAGAGCGTACAGTTCTCCCCTAAACGGAAATAATGTCTGTCTGTACGTCAGTTAGTCGATAACAATATTCAAAGGAGTTTAGTTTCAAACTGTGTTGGATGCAGCTATTGTTTTAACATGATAATACACGAGACTTTTGTGTCGGTTGCGATATTTAAATGGAATTGTAAAATGAGTTAGTTGAATGTAGTTATGTATATAAGAGTGAGAAACTGACAATTCTCTTATAATCGACATGGGAAAATTTTCATTAATCAAATTCAAAAATATAAACGTATTTGTATAACTTAAATATTCAAACTAAGTATTATATATCTTCCCATACGCAAAATACATAATAAAAATGTGCTAATATACATAAATATTATGTTAGCTATACATGCTTTACATATTGCACCGGAGCGATGGCACTTTGCTTTGCATTCGACACTTTACAGCTCATTGTCGCCCACATATTGTCTATACACGAACACCCACACGACAACATCTAGTGTTGTCTTTCATAACTATCGATATATTGATTACGACAAGATCACTAAAGTATTATTTATTAAAAGAATACCGACTACAATTGCTCCTAATTTCAGGATAACGAAATTACTTTTCTTGAATTGCACTCTTGGCAAATACCAAGATAGCCTTTTACTATCGTAATGTATAATATTAACAATCATATTATAGCTATATAATTATACTAAATACATATAAAAGACATATATTTAGGGCGAGCGAAGAGAGCCCTACTCTATCCTGTATTACTCTCTGAGATTTGGTCTTTGGCGTGGTCACTGCAAAATTATTTATAGATGTGTTATCTATCGAAAAATTCTATTTGATACAAAAATGCATTTAAACATTACGACAAATTCTAAAGCACCGCTTTTTTCTCGATTATTTAAATTACGTATCTCATTTATCGATAATTACAGGATATCGATAATTTTGTCCATCCCTAGTTGCAGATCCGCATAACAATAACATGTGACAAGTGATGATATCAACACCAGTTTTTGTGTACATATGACACTGTCCTGTATTCCAAACGAAGTAACCAATGATGTCATAGAAATTATATTTTGAAAAAACTAAAATGGATTGAGGAGCTGATTGTATACAAAATATTAAAAAAAATATTTATCTAAGATAAAGATATAGATAATTTATTAAAGAGCTATTGAGTCTTCTATAAATTAATTGACAGTATAAAAAAATATTTTAACGATTTTTTTTAAAATAAATCATACCAACACCACACGAAACCAACAAGAGAATTGAATGAACAATTAAAATATTTAAAAAATCACTTTTACTTCACTCAAATAATTATAATTTAGCAACACAAAAATTTGCAAGAACGATGCGTTCACGATCGCACTCCGCGCCATACTGAAAAGGTGAACGCTTTTCACAGCATTGCCTGAAGACGACTACACCAGTTTACACAGACCTTCGTCATTCATACAATACCAACAAGACGATAGCTCACATTAAAACGGACATAAACTCTCCTATCCAAACAATTGATCCCTGCAATATATCTATATCTATTTGAATAGACCATTTGTCCAATTTGACTTGATCCTTGGCGCTATAGAATATTAAACGCGAATGAAATCTACGTAAATTGGTTAATCTCGTATCCATTTATATCTGACCTCTGTTCGACTAGACATCGCCGTGAAATTGGAGTTTTTATAACTTGGAAAAAGAGACAAAGGAAAATGAACTATATTACTAATGTCACATAGTTTTTATTGCAAGCAAATTAATAATTTAGTGATATAAGAGACAACGTTAATCCGAAGAAATAAAGTTGAAAATAGCTATTAAAAATCACAATAATACAGTAATTAAAGTTAAATTGAATCTTTTGTCATTACAATAAGGTTGAATTTGGATTGTGTACGTCGCATAAGTCGTTCTATAGTCTGGTCAAACTATTGGAATCAAACCATGAGATAGTTTCAGTGCAGTCAAGAGAAATGTAAAAAAAAAAAGTGTCTACTAGATTGCTTGTAGTTTATTTTAAGCGAAGGAATTTATTCAGAAAGATAATATTGAAAGTAAAAAAATAGTCTACGTTATTTAAGGTATAAATATAGCTATCTAATGGTTAAATAATGAATATAAAAATATCCTCCTAATCCAGTTCTAATAATACATCGTCAGTTATTACTGCAAAAGCAACTTAATAAAACTGTAAGGTGAATAAACTTTCAGTGTGCTTATGGCTTAAAATTTTGTTCTACAAAATGGGTATTACACCTAGACGCAGTTGCATAAGATTCAAACTGTACGCCGGCTCGGTGTTAGCTGTATTATGGGCGAAGGAAAGCGCCCACAGAGTGATTTATCCGAGTAGAAGAGAAGCACATATTATGAGATCTAGCGACGTAACTCATTACGCCAGGCTCAGCTGTGTCAACCTAGAAGCGTCGCCAAGTAATCATCAGATTTGGTGCCGGCGTACAGTTAGCAAGCATGTATATAATGTGTGTTGTACACTGACTGATTGTGGTGCGCGGTGAGGCGGTTGGGGTCTGACGCGTTGCGATGTTTCCCGCGGCGCGGCGCGTCTCGCTCCCGGCAGCTCTCCGCACGATTCACGCCGCGCCCTCCACCTCCCCCGCGCCAACTAAATATTCATTTTGTATTTAATACAATTAAAAAAATACCTGAGTTAATAAACCGCCCTCTAGTATTCAACTACAAAAGCTCCCCAAAATTTGACAATACATTTACACTCCGATAGATGGCGCTACTTGTATATTCAATCCAAGCTTGCCCGTTTTAATATTTTTCTTTTTATTTATTTATATTAATATAGACATACTTGTGCTCCTTGTCAGGTTGTTCTTTGGCGGTGTCCGCGGAGTCCGCGTCCGCTTCGGGCGCGCTCGGCTCCTCTGTTGATCCCTCTCGCCGGGACTCGCCTGGAACGAAACAACAAACGTGATTAATTTAAAACATTTATTTATTATTTCACACGATTAGTGTGGAGAAAAATAATTATAAAAAAACACGGTATTAAAATTGACCTGCGTTTTCAAGACGCAAACCAAAACTTGATCAAAAAACATGATTGTGTTTTATAAACACAAAATGAAGTGGCGTAATCTTTATTCTATACAATAAACATAATATCTAAACAGTGTCCGTAATGCATATAGAGATGACATCACTCGCTTAAATCATACATACACACACATACACGGAGCGAGTGTACACAATATGTTTGTATGTTTGTGTGTCAGTCGCATTGTATGCAGGCTAACAGCAATAATTACACATAATATCCCTTAAACGAACAACTAGACATGAACAATTAACTACTAGGCTTGTAAGTTTTAAGAAAACTTGTTTTCAAAGAGTTTCACGAACAGTGAACTAGATGGCGCTGTCTGTTGTTTCACAATATTAGAACTGACGTTTGTGTTCCTGGATTCGTATCGACTATCAAGCGCTTATAATTAACAATTATAATTCACTGGTGGTGATGTGACGTCACCCATACACACACATGCACACATACTGTAAAGCACTCATATGGTAAAAACCCATAAGTTTTTTTCGACAATGCAAAGGCAACACCTGATTACGTATTATAAAAATTTATTATTTGTATAAATTGAATTCGACCTATGTCCATCGGTGGAAAAATGTTCGAATGTGATACAAGAACATTACTTTTGACGTATTAGTACTATAATAATTCTTTTTTTTAGACAAAACGTCATAAATTTCACTAAAGAAAAACACTGTAATGTCATTAACACGTATACGTAATGAGGTCGGGATAGTTAACCCGTTCTCATTAAGACAACAAGTTGTAAATAATGCTAAAAGCTCTAGTGAAAGAATAACATCGTTTTATAATTTAGTCAGCGTTTGTGTGTAAATAATGGCAAGTGTTTAGTGAGACAGTATTTTCTAATCTTTGTTGAAATCGCTATATGATTACTACGATACTACTATTGTTTTTTTTTTGTTAACTTTGTGACCTATAAAATGTAGGTATGAGATTTAGTTTGTGCAGTTATTGGGATCCATAGAAGTTGTAATCCGTGGTTAAGTTAACTGAAGAGAAGTCGACAGCTTAGTTTTATGAATAAAATTACTCACTTGAATCAACTGTTTGGGTATTTTAAGTAATAATTTTGACTCATTGTGTTGTTAATACTTTTCCCTATAGTTAAACATCTACTTTGAATAGGAAATGTCCGTAGAGTCGAACCATCGATCTGAAGGAGCGGCTCTGACCCGCATGGTAGGAATTTTGACACGAAAACTATTTATGTTAATAGTATAATATCTGACGTAAACTAAGCCTACGCATTGAATACTGTTTATAAACAAAATTAATAATTTTGATTTAAAAAAACATCGTAAAATGTACAAAAATACTTTCACTATGGCATCACGTATTCCTTTGTCAACACGAAAAAAAACTTATTTGACAAAGTTAACCTTTTTTTTCACAGCACTTATGTCGTTAAACTTTATATGTGAAACGTGTATGTCTTTGAGTCTGGGACTTCGGGGCGCTGGGGACTGAGTCACCGGGTATTGAGTGCGCGGTCGTTCACTCCACTGTATTGCCCAAATCCCACTCGACATAATTCCAGTGCGGGTTCGATGCCGTCCATTGAGGTCGGACGATTGCTTTTGCTAAAACCAACAGCGAAATTTATGTCAAACTATTCAATGGGTGTACACTTAACATGTTTAACATTCTGCGATTAACATCTGGATTTGCTTGCGAAATGTTTTATTGAGTTATAATTAATTTGAGGAGGAATAATATTCGTCATCAGATGAAGGAGACTAAAGACAATATAGAGCAAGGAAAATACAATATTATTTACTACATTAGTCTCGAGTTCAAGTCATGGAAATGATAATATAGAGAACACAGTCATCATAACTGAGTCATTTCCAACTTAATTAATTTAGTTTAATTTACAAAATAAAAACATCAACCTGTAACTTTGTAGACCAAACATTAAATCGAAAGTCATTACTTTGCGGGTGTAGATATATATATAATATTTTCATGTGTTATATTGAAAACAATTAAAATGATTACTCATTAAAAGTGGCAATAAAACCAAAAGCGTGAGGCGCCGTCCGATGGGATCGTTTCATGGAACTGCTACATATTTATTGGCAACACGCAGCGGCAGATGATATCTGCACAGACAGAATCTTGCACACCACGTATTACTCGTATATATAGACAAGTATGCAAACAGAACAAAAATAATTTGCTTTAAAACAACGGGGATGGGAGAGATTAAAAGATTTCTATTAATAACTATTGCAGTGGAAGAAGCAAAATGTTTGTAAGGGTTCTTCAATTACTGTGGGTTTTTGAAACCAAAATCCTCATTTAAAACATTATAGTGTTATCTCTGTTTTGTCAAAGATGAAAGACAGAGATGACGATATGTTTCATACGGAGATTTTAGTCTCAGAAACCAACGGTAAGTCATTTAATATGTCTTGGGATTATCTCATCTTTTGATTTTCTTTATTTTATTTAGTATAAACATAATAAATAGTAAAGCAAATACTACCCGATTACATTAAGATTTGTCACTGCCTTTGTTGCCAAAAACGTAGTCTATCATTATGCAAATTACACACATGTCTAAAATAAACTTGGACAGTGCACGTTGGCGACAAACAAAAATAACTTTATTTCAGAGTCGAACCCGCGGCCCGCCAGCCAGAGACAGCAGCAATGAGTCACTGAGCGCAGGGTACATTTTAAATTTATTTCTGTACTTCCTTCAGCAACGGAAGTGCATGCGCGTAACAATCAGATTACGTGTGCCAATAAACCAGAGGAAGAGGGGACTTCCCAATCACTTTCCTTATTAGGTTTTCAAAACCATAACCGGATTTTATGTGCAAAACATACAATAATTAGAAATGTAAAATTAAAGGTGTTTTGACAATTATCAAATCTCACATAATAAGCTCGTTGCAGACTGGTTATTACCCATAACTCACAAGTATATACACATAGACGGAAACAAGAGGAAGAAGAGGAAGTAAAGTCCACCCATACAGTTTAATTTTTTATTCTAAAAACCTACATTTATCCATCAATTGAATCTACTCGTCCGCTATCCCATTCAAGTACAGTGCACACAAACTGGCTACAACAGATGTTGAAAACACCATTATGAGAGGTATGTGGTAGCACAAAAACACATCCCCGGCAGTCCAGCGGCCAGTCGGCGAGGCGGCCCATTGACCGGCTGCAGAATGCGGGGCCCACAACCACACACTTATACATCAATATAGGGCTGCCTATTTGTCACTTATTACATATAATAATATTCCAATAGAGGTTGAACATACAGTTAAAGTTGCCAATTAGATTTTATCAACAATATTGAGATGACCATACCAATCAAAAAAAATCTAATTTGAAAAAAAAAATACTTGATAGAATCATAATAAAAAAATTAAATAAGTTTGTGCTCAAATTACACGTAATTTCGACTTAATGATATTTTTTTTTATAATAAAATTCTATCTGAAATATTGTTTTCTATACAATGAATATTACCAACCCTAGGACTATGAAGTGAAATAGACTATAGCATAAACGATCAAGAATGTTCGGGTCAGGGCCGCGTTGTCTGAATAGCGTACGTCGGGGCTGTCACAAAAAACAAGTATAGGTTTATACTCGCCGAGAACAAACAACTGACAAGACATTTTTATTTCATAAGTCAAAATGCAAATGTAACAATTTGTTGAAAATTTTATTCCCTGAAAGAAATTAAAAAATAACCCTATAGTAGTATTAATTGCTAGAAAGGGTACATAATTACGTTCTAGAAAATTACACGCGCGTGCGCATTACTAATCGCAAATAAAGCAAGTCAATTTAAATCACATACAATCGTTCGTCGGAAAACTCACACAATAGCAACAGCCAACGTTGAGCAGCTATACAAGCCGGAGTTTACAATCAGGAGACTAATTATAAATGCGCAACAATTAGTATTACAGACAGCCGAATCAAAACTCAAAATACAGTAATAACTGTAGAAACTCGCGCCGCGTCAACGCATTTTATAGCATTTCCAATCGTTTTATTGCTCTTTGACCGTTTTATTTTGCACGGCTGTTTTGTGAACGACACGTGTGAGCGATCGCAGATTTTACAACTCACAAAATAGTTGAGACATTGTTGTTTTCGGACGCGGTTTGTGTAATTAATTTCGTCTTTCATGTTTTCATATAGATTTTACTTCCACGAAACGGCTGCAGAGTTTGTGATTAACATTCATTCAGAGAGAAACAGAGTAACAAATCATTCTCTTAGGATAAGATAGTAAATGCTGGACAAAGCTCAGCTTTCAACATTCTGCGTTCGGATCACAGTATGCTTTATACGTTTGCTTCAACAGTGCTACCCGGCTACATATAGTACAGAAGATGGTTAATGTAAACATAAGAAAAAAACCCGTCATAACTGTCTCACTTGATCGCTATTACTTGTTATTTGCAAAACTGGTAACATTCGTATAAACAAAAATGTTTCATAACACAAGATTACACAAAACAACTGGTTGCACAACAACTATTGATAGCACAAACATATTGTCATACATCTATTCTAGATAAAAAAATATCTTTAGTATAACAATAAACAGAACATACAGAAAAAACTTTAAAATAATGGAAGAACAAATAGAATAATTAATAAAAGCCATATAGTTCATTGTAGGCTAATGAAATAAGCCTAACTAAACAGGACTATGCAATTTTATGACAAAATAATTAAAAGTATAATATGAAAAATTGTTTAGTTCATCGCTATTTTAATTTGTCCACTTACCAAATATTAATCTAAAACCAAAATATAAACATTTAGGTGCAACTGATCTAAAATGTTCTTGAATCTGTTATA